GCAGTGAGTTGCGTGTCGCTGATTCGTCCGCGGACGCGGGCTGGGAGGCGGGGATCCTGACTCACTGTGGCGCGGGAGGGGCTGCGGGCTGGCGGGCTGTCTGTAGCTGTGCCTCCCCCGCACCCTTCTCCCCCCGCAATCTGTTCGAGGGGCGCGGGGCGCCCGCCAGGCATCCCCTGGGTCAGGGTCCTCCTGCGGGCTTTCCAAACAGCCGGTGCTCATTTCCCCGGGAGCCCTCGGGGCGCTGGGTGGTCCCTGTTTGTTTATTTCCACATCTGCCCCCTGGAGACTCCTTCAGAGCGGAGCTTTCTAATCCACCCCTTGATGAAGTCGGGGGCCCTGGCATTTGGCACACTGCCTGGCACATCATCGTGACTTGGGGGATCAGTCAGTCGCAGTGGAAGGAAGGGGGAGGACGGGGGGAGGGGGGGAGACAGGGTAGGAGAAAAGAACAAAAAAAAAAAAACGGAAGCGAGCTCAGCCTCCATATCTGCTAAGTGCAGAATAAGCCCCAGTGTGTAATGCTCCGGAATGAAAGCCTTAGGAAGGAGATGGGGGCTTGGCTTGGCTGCCCATCACACACGTCGGACAAGAAGAAAAGGGGGTGTCTCTTGCTCTCAAAAATGAGGGTGCTTATATTTGTTCTCAAACCACCAATAGCATGGGGCAAACAAGAGGGAAAGCCACAACTTGCTGGGCTGAGGAAGTGTCAAGGTGAACTGTGTCCAGGAAGCCAAAGAGGAGGAGGGCAAAGAGGAATGAACAACGTGATTATTGTGAATAAAGACATTTTAAAATTAAAATGAGGGGGGTCATCAACTCTCCGTTGGCCTCAAAAGACCAGTTGGCCCCAAAGCAAAGCAGCGGCCCCGCCCTTTCTTATCAAAACCTCAGAATTTGCAGAGCCTGGAGGACTCTCAGCCAGTAGCCGGAACCCCATTTTACAGAGGAGGAAACTGAGATTCAGGGAGGCTCTGTCACAGGCCCAAATCAAGGAAGACAGGGCAGGAATCAATGTTAGGGATCGGACCAATCCATTACCTTGCCTACTGCAGCCCCTGCCTGTCCCTGAGCATTCTCCCCTCCTGGTTTCTCCAAAAGGGAAATTCTGGGGGAAGCCCCACCTTGTGCTTGTTCAGGGCCTGGACCCTGGTAATGGAAGGTGTGGAATTCTGGGTGCAGAGATCCAGGCAGCCAGCAGCTTCTGACACCCCCACCCACCCCTGGGCTGTGAGCCACTGCCAGCGCCTGCCTGAAAAACGAGCTTTCTGGGGCAGCTCTGCACCGAGAGGGGTGTCTCTTGCAGCTCCAAAAACAGATTTTGCCATCTCATGCCCACATTTGCAGTCTCCAGTTGGCTTCTTGTGATTGGCCAGAACTTTTCCTCGCTAGCAAGATGAGGAGCATCTGCCTCCTACAACCAGCTGGAAGAAAACACTGCAGTAGCAAAGAAGGAAATGGTTGTTCCCACCCCTCTGATGGGTACAGGGGAGTCAGGTGTGGGCTCATCAGGCAGAATGATGCCAGGGACCCCCCAAGGGTCTCTACACTTGACCTTACCTTATACCTTTCATTCTGTAACTGGGGGTGTTATAGTGGATATTTTTGGCGTTCTGGAGCAAACAGTTTCTCAAAATTGAATTCTAAAAGCTATCAGGGCTGGCAGCTTGTACACACAGAAAGGGGTAGCTAGCATACTTAGAATGGGGGACAATTGGAGCTTCCTGTCTGCCCACCCCAGTCTGCTGCCACAACTACTGCACCACACTGACTCCCAGCTTTCTCCAGTGTCCCTGCCTAAGAGATGCAGTCTGTCACATGACCCATGGCCCTCCAAGGCATTCCCCAGGGTTAAGGCTTACTTCACTATTAATCTCCCTAATGCTGAGATCCTCTGCGGTGGCTGCTCTAGAACCTGGAGAGTTTGAACTAATACTGATGCCCAGGCCACACCTCTGACCAAATAAATCCCTATTTCTGCAGGTGTTGTCTAGAAGTTCTCCCAGGTGGCCATAATGTACAAAAAGATTGAAAACCCCCTGCTTCCCTGGTAACTGCTGGTTTTGCCTGCCCACATCTGTTCTCCTTTCTAGTAACAGCACCCAATGTTACTTCGAAAACCTCATTCTCTCTGGATTGAGTGACGTTAACCCCACCATCACCTCCCACACCACACTTTTCACCAGGGGCTAGCAGGTTACCAGTTTATGTACAAGGAGATCCAACGAGAATCTGCCTCCAGACTTCTGATGAAACTACCGGGAAGGGAAACGTCTCTTTGGGCGGCAGTTATTCAGCAGAAAACGTGGGAGTCTTGGGCTCCCAGCGGCCATTTTTGTCACCACATGGAGAAAACCACCTGTAAATTAAGACAACACCGAGGAAAAGAGAGGTTACTGATGGAACGAAAAAGACTTGAAACCTAATTAAAACCATGTGTGTGTGTGGGGGGGGGGGGGCGGGGGGGGGGGGACATGGGAACTACTATTTTTAATACTTTAAACAATAAAAAATAAAAAACATGTGTGAAGCCAGATACCCTTCAGTAACAGAAACAAACCCCCTCAGCCAATCTGAGCTGCATTTTCTATGAGGAGCAACATTATAGCAGAATTAATCTGTTACATAACCAGGTGTTACCTTGAAATGTAGAGAACAGAGTTCTGATCTGAAGGGTCACCAAACAAGTGAGTTTCGGTGTTCATGGTGAATGCATCCAAAGACAGCGGAAGGATGCGGTCCACCCTCAAGGATGGTAGTTCTCAGAGGAGAGGGCTGCAGACATGAAAGGCAGACACATCTTGCTTCATTATTTCCTTCAGTGAACATCAGGAGTAGCTCAGTCTTAGCTAAATAAGAAAGAGCTCGAGGCATAAATGAATAGGCTACAGGGACAATGTCTGGACTAAATTTTAGCCAGGTCCTTAGAGGTTTTTTAAGTAGCCAGTTTAACAATAATACAAAAAGTTATATGGCCAAACAAAAGCAGGCAACAGATCATCAAGACAATGCACTCGATGCTTTCTTGGTCAAGGAAAGTTCCCTGAAAAACAGGCCCCATGTCTGCAGGTACAAGTGAATAAAAAGTAATTGACTCACTGGATTTTTTTTTTCTTTGAAAGTTATATCAGCTAGCAATTGCTGCATAACAAATTACCCCTCAACTTGATGGCTAAAAAAATGATTTATTTGGCTCAGCAATAAATCAGCAATTGGAGTTATGGTCTACTGGATGGTTCTTCTGCTGTCATCTGGGCTCACTCGTGTATCTGCAGTCAGCTCTGGTCAGCTAAACCGCTTTGTTTCTGGAATTGACTGGCTGTTGGCTAGGGAGTTCCCATGTTCAGTATGGTGGGCAGGCATACTGGAGAGTCTGAAATCAGGAATTGGTGAGTCACATGACACCCAAAGGGATGTGTGGGAAGAGAGGGAGAAACTGTAACTGTTGTTCTTACCAGGAAACTTCGGAGAAGTATCTGGAGAGGATGTGACCTATGTTTTCTGGGTCACACACAGTGAGAAGCCTCTGTACTACATCTTTGAGGAAACATACTAAGACTTAACCACAGAGAACAAAATTGGTCCCTACTCGACAGCCTCTTAACTGATTGGTTGCTTTGTGGTTATTGTTTCCAGCACGTTATGTGCATCTGTGCCCAAGGATAAAGCCTCATGACTTATACTGAGCAGTCCAGCATGTTGCAGGAGACCAAACATCTAGTCTTCCATTAGAAAGATGATTTAAATGCTTAGGGAAGAAATAATGATGTTCCAACAACAACCTTGCTGTCAGCCTTAACAAGGTTCGTGGTAAATGCGTCCTTTCTTAAGAATTGCCAGAGCCCTGGCTGGTTTGGCTCAGTGTATAGAGCATCGGCCTGCAGACTCAGGGGTCCCAGGTTTGATTCTGGCCAGGGGCATATGCCTGGATTGCAGGCTTGGTCCCCAGCGGGGGGCATGTGGGAGGCAGCCAATCGATGATTCCCTCTCATCATTGATGTTTCTGTCTCTCTCTTCCTCTCCCTTCCTCTCTGAGATCAATAAAAATATATTTTAAAAAAATAAAGAATTGCCAGAGCCCCTGGGCATGTGCTGCTGGCCCCTCCGAGGGCACCAATTAACAGTCTGGCAGGCATCCACAGAGATGCTTGGCTGAGAGGCCGAAGCAGGACACTGAACAGGTGCCCCTTTCTACTATTCCTGGGCACAGAGTCTCGTTTCCAGCCCAAGCTGTGGCCGCAGGAAATGCAGCAAATCAGCCAAGCTTTGTTTCATCCCCAAAGTCCTCTGTACCTCTGTGTACTAATCATGCAAATTTAAGAAACGTAGTCCCTAAAGGACAAAAAGAAATGCTGATAGTTTTTAAAGAGCTAGAACTAGTGATAAGCCTGGGACAAGCCAACCTCTTAGTGATTCAGACAATTCCTCTGACACAGAAGCCAGTTTCCAAGTGGCACGGTGGTGCCAAATGCAGCTTGTTATCTGTTTGTTTTCTGCTGGCTTATTAGGATGAAGACACTGAATACTGTTTGTTATCTACATACCAGTGTCCAAAATGTTATCAATAGCAATGGAGCAAACCACGTAGAGGTTGCCACCTATGTGCCAGAAGACAGGATTCCTCTCTTCACCTGTTTTCACTGGTTCCTGGGACCATCTGCGCTGTGAGATGGAGAAAGGTTGTCAGTCCACACACTGAGTTCTTGTCTGAAATATGTTGATCGCCTACATCCAAACTTCACTGGGGCCTCACCTCGCTACCTCCTGGGCCCTCAGCATTCCAGCCTTGCTATTCAGGACGGCTGAGGCGTCATCAAACTCAGCAAGCGGTTTCCCTTGAATGAAAATAAAATTCTTTGCTCCCATGTCAAAATCATGAGTGGGGCGGGATATAAACCAGAGAGGAAGACTACCCTGAGAAAAGCCTATTCCGAGGTCAGAAACAGTACGATTCTTAGCCAGGAGGAGGCACTCTTTGGGCCGAATGCCGTGCTGCCCCCAGTGGTCTGGATGACAATGTTCTGTGAGACAGGCGGTTATCAGTCTCCAAAAGCATCTACATCTCTGTCAGATAAAATGTCTATACTGGCCCATACCCTTCTTATCCTGGTGGCAGGTGAGTGCAGTGCGGACTGTATATGCCACATTGGGGTTCATCAACTGTCTTAATCAGCCGGTTTATCTTTCTCTGCCCTGAATCCACAACCAATGGGTCCATAGGTGAAAAGGTAGAGGCAGAAAATGACATAATAACACTTGAATCTGAATCATTTCTAATGAGCTGGAATATTAACACTTGCCACTTAGTACATTTTTTTTAAAAGGCAGTCTTTTTATTATTTTTAAGTACATAATGTTTATGTTTACATGATTGCAATGAAAGCAGCCCCTTTATTTTTTATATATTTTTTAAAGGCTTCTTTTTTAAAAATATATTTTTATTGATTTCTGAGAGGAAGGGAGAGGGAGAGAGAAATAGAAACATCAATGATGAGAGAGAATCATTGATCAGTTGCCTCCTGAACGCCCTCTTCTGGGGATCGAGCCCGAAACCCAGGCATGTGCCCCTGACTGGAATCGAACCTGGGACCCTTCAGTCGGCAAGCCAACGCTCTATCCACTGAGCCAAACCAGCTAGGGCTAACCCCTTTAATTAAACATAAATTTAAGTTAAATGTAACACATGCTTATTGTAGAAAATATAGCTATACTACCCATAACGCCAGCAAACACAAAGCAGATCAATTTTATCTGCACATATGTAAATATATGTATATGTACTTTTGCACCTTGCTTACGTAATTTGATAGTTTATTGTGAACATTTTGCCATGTCATGAACTATTTTTCAAGAACATGAATTTAACAGTTCTTTAATATTTTCCCCCAAGGTAGGTGTCAATTTTATTTCCAGACATTTAAGGTTTTCCCATTTTTTTCTATAGTAGACAATGCTCAATATTTTTCTGCAAGTTCCAAAGCACTATGGATTTCTTTTTCTTCTCCTTTATATATTAGATATTTCAGTAGAATCAGAATTTTGGCACTGAAGGAGACCTTACAGAGAATATCTCTCACTTTGTTTTAAGGAACTGTTCTTTAAGATTTTTTTTTTTTAGAACAGAAAATTAGACAGGATGATGAAACAAACATTAATTAATTATAACTCCTTCAGAATTTTTAATGAAAATAACTAGGATATCACAGATAAAGCTAATGTCTCATTTATTCTATTTCTCCATCTCATCTTTTCCCCTCTCAAACTGACTGTTAAAACTATGGTTTATATAACCCAGTCCACATTTTTATATTTTGCCACATACATATAAGAAATATAGAGAGTTGGGTTTTTATATGGACAAATGTTATCAGACTGAATGTAACATTTTTTCATTTCTTTTTCCAGTCGACATTTAAAAAAAACTATGCTGATTCATATGCTTCTAATTCATTCATTGTAACTGCTATATAGCATTTCATCATGTGATTATATAATCTGTTTATCCTTTCCATTTTTATAGCTATTTAGGTTATTTTTAAATTGTCTCCAGTATAAACAGTACTGCAGTGTATATGTAACTTTGTTCATATCCATATTGGCAATGTGCAAGGCCAGCAGACTTCTAGTATTGGCCTGATACATCAAAAGCTTTTCCATCCATTTGTTTTTAACCTTCCTAAGTCTTGCTACTTTCAGTGCCTCTCTGGGAAGTAGCAAATTGGTGGAGCAGATAGGTGGATTTTTTTAAAAACCAATTTGATTATCTCTGCCTTTTACATAATCTGTTTGTATTATTGTAATTACTGATGTTTGGACTTCTCTCTGCCATCTGGTTTGGTGCATTCTATTGGGGAGATTTTTCTTTGCTTCTTTTTCCTGTCTCTGAATTTTGTTGAATCTAAAGAAATCTCAGTTTATTCTGCATCTTCTTCTTCCAAACAGTACAATATTTTAGAATGTACTAACTCTGACCTTCTTTTACTTATTATTTTCCAATATGTTTGTTTTGGTATTTCTAGATGTTTAAGGTAGAAGGAGAAATGTCTTAGTTCAGGTCAATCTTCAATTGAGAGTCCCAGAATAGAAATTTTTAGGATTGAATATTTAAAAATTTTTGGATAGATATGCACAAAAATATTGATAATAATTATCTCAGAATAATATGATTAGAAGTACTTTTTATTTTTTTTATTTTTTTTCTACAATGAAAAAAGTAGAAGGAAAAAAAGAAAAAAGAAAAGAAAAGTAACTTGCTTTGCTCTTTTGTTCTCATACTGTAGTTTTCATTTTAACTGAGAGGATATCATTTGAAACTTGCCTATTAAAGGTAGCTCAATCTCTACTGTGTTTCAGTTATCAATTTATATGGCAATGCCATATCACAAATGATCTCAAAACCCCAGTCACACACAACAATGAGCATTTATTTCCTTTTTTTTTTCTGTACATCAGATTATTTATTCACTTGATTCTTAGATTCACTTGTTGATAGATGCATGTTTGTTGTTCACAATTTGTATCTTTACCTTTTTCTTCTTCTTCCTCTTCTTAAAGGATACCATTCAGCATTTCGTATAATACTGGTTTAGTGGTGATGAACTCCTTTAGCTTTTCCTTATCTGTGAAGCTCTTTATCTGACCTTCAATTCTGAATGATAGCTTTGCTGGATAAAGTAATCTTGGTTGTAGGTTCTTGCTATTCATCACTTTGAATATTTCTTGCCACTCCCTTCTGGCCTGCAAAGTTTCTGTTGAGAAATCAGCTGACAGTCGTA